AGAGAGAGAGAGAGAGAGAGAGAGAGAGAGAGAGAGAGAGAGAGAGAGAGAGAATTTTTTTTAAAAAAAGAAGGTAACCTACAGATGCCTAAGGGACATCCAATATGGAGAGGGTCCAAAGATACTCATATTTCCAGGTCTCTACACTTAAAGAGAACAATAAGTTTGAGGAATTAATACAGAGATGTCAACTGAAACATCTCTATGTCAGAACCAAAATAGTCATGGCTAGATAAGAGGCAGCCACTTAACATTTATGAACTTACTATTTTCGCTCAACACTATAACAAATGCCATGGCTAAAGTAGAAGGCAAGAAAGCAAAGGTCCCTACTCTCCATGAGGTTAACTAAAAGAGAGAGGATCCAGAATATATACAAGTGCATACACACATAAAAAATACTAGCTAGTAAAAGCATAGAGAAAAACATTTAATTAAGATAGGATGTGAAAATGACTGGCTACAGAGTTCCTTTGTCATTGCCCATTCTAGAATGTGGGAAGCAAAAGAAGAGACTGGGGAAGATGGGCAGAGACCTACACTTGTAAACCAAGTACTGATGGAGAGTTCCAAACCCAGGAACTCAGTATCTAACCTAAAGATGTAACATGGATCAGAACATCTTGACTCCCAGTCTATGTTCTAATTTGGAAACAGTCGTGGTTTAGATGCGGTTTTCTCCACTTTGGAAGTTTGATTCGTTTCCAAGTGCAATGATGTGAGAGGTAGTAAGAATCTTTAAGAGATGAGACCTAATAGGAGGTGGTTAGGTCATTGAGGGCACTGCCTGTGGAAGAGATGCATATGGTTTTCATGGATTTCTCATAAGCTCCTTTAAGGGGGTTGTTTCTGAAATAGAAGTCCAGCTTCTCCACTGTCTTACATACATTCCTACCACAATGTCCTGTGCCAAAGGCTCACCAGAGTAGAGCTTATCCTGAGGCTACAACCTTGAACCTCAAAAACTGGGAGCTAAATAAATCTCTTTTCTTCATATATTACTCAGCATCAGGTATTATGTTGTAGCAATGGCAGATTGACTAATATAAAGATTGTGCAGCCACCTCCAAACTAGAGCATAATCTAGGAATAATCCTAGTGGCTCATTTCATTCAGTGACTATGTCTACATCCAGCTTAACACTAGAAGCCCAGAGATTCTGTAGTGAACAAGATCATCAAGGTTCTTACCCTCAGAAAGTTTACATTTTCTATTAGAAGAAAAAAGAACACCCAAGTCCACACACATCATCATTCCTCAAAGTAAACAAGTCTCTAAGTAAAACAATTACAAACTGTGTTATATGTTGTGAAGAAATAGAAACAAAGGTCTAAGAATAACAGTGGGTATTTACTTAGGGTTGTCAGACAGAAACAAATACTCTGGCAATAAAAGGTCCTAGAATTTTCCCTGGAAAGGAAAGTGGTAAGGATCTCCCAGGCAGAGAGAACTGTGTGTATAGGCTTGGAATCAGAGAAGAGCTTGATGTGCTTGAAAAACTGAAAGGTGACCAGTAGGGCCAACAGACAGGCCCAGAGAAAAAGAACTGCTGGCATGGAGATATAAACAGTTCCATCACTCAAGGCCCTGTTGGCTTCAGTCAAGGCAAGTCACTGGAACAGGTTTTCAAGACAGGGATAACCTGAGGCTGGGTTTCAATGCTATGGAATTTCTGGGATGGAGAGGTTGTTTGTTTGTTTGTTTGTTTGTTTGTTTGTTTTCTATAAGCCCACAGTGTCTGGTGGCCATCATTCTAATCATACAGTGTGGTGTGCCTTTATCACATCTACAATTAGGGTGAGGCCTCCATTTGCAGACCAATTTCTCTTCCTTGGAGATCCTTCCTGGCCAAAGTGCTTCCCAAAAGGCCCTGTGAACTCGCTAAAGTATTTCCAGTAGTCTTTGTGAGAGTACTGGGAGGACCAATGCTTTTGTAAAGGACACAAAATAATAAAACAAAACCACTCCCTCATTTCTGATGGAAATTTCTTGTTTTCTCCTCCAGTGCCTCCCATTAGTTCACAGTCTAAGTAATTATCTTTGCTGTTTACTTTGTCTCCATTTCTATTGCAGAATACCACAAACATATGTATATGATGATGCATAATAACAAAGAACTATAAATTCTTACTGATCCCAGAAATTTGGCAATTCTAAACAATAAAAATATGTCCTCTGCCAGCTCCTCTCAAAAGAACACTTTAAAAACACAAAAGAGCGTCATTATAACAAATGAACTCCTAGAAAACATGAGGCCTCATCATGGGCTCCAGACTACCAGGTAGTGATGGCAACAGGCAACTGTAAATACAAATTTGCAAAGTCCCCATTGCCACTCTCACCTGGCTCCTATCTTCATTTCCCAGCCTACATCTTGACTGCATCAAGCCCAATATACTATATTGCTTTTAGCCACTATTCTTTTCAGAAGCCAGAATTCTCAGGCTAAAGAGAAAGTCCCCTTTGTCCTCCACCAGTGATTTAATTTACATTCTCCTAAATACTCCATTCACTTTGTTTTCAAGCAAAAAGATCTCACAATTGTACTAGACCCTGAACTTGAATTTCCCTGTGTTTCTGTTCTTTAGGAATTTGCCTAGGTCAGCTACTGGGAAGTCCCAGAATTCAACTTTACCTTTGAGAAAATGTTGCTCATGATTTTATATGATACTTCTCACTACTATTGCATATAACATGATGGGGAAAATTGAGGGGAATTGAGACAAAGTCTTTGATGCCTGTCTTTTGTCTTTCAGAATATAGATGCATGTGAACATACAGACACACTGAACTATACATATGACCTTTTCTCTGATTATCGGGAACTGGCTTTTATCTCCATCCTACCTCTAAAGGTCTTATATATAATTACTAGGATATAACAGCCAAATCTTGAATACAAAATAGTACAAAGGCAAAGAAATGCCAATTCCTAATAAAATCCATGTAGCCAACTGATAGGAAAGCATTAGGAATGAAATGGTTCTTTCTATTCTTTGGGAAAACAGATTAATGCCAACAGGATACGGCTTACCTGAATGTATTATAAGGCACCACTTTCGTGTGATTACTGTCAACAGCTGAAAATATCTGCGTGATCTCTCTTAATTTAGATTTTTCTTGTTTCAGCTTTTGTACAGCAAAGTCAAGGTTGCTATATGGAAACTTGAAGGAGTAAAAATAAGACATATACATGAGACTTCAGGAGGCCATTATTATCATCATCATCATCATTCTTATTATTAGCTCTTTGAGAATTTCCTATGCTGTGGTTTGATCACCTTCGCCAACTCTTCTCAAGTCCTCCTGTCTTTCCTACTCATGCAACTGTGTTCTTTTTCTTGGTGTTAACCCACCAAGACCAATTTGTTCTACTCATGTTTTTTGGATGTGTGGTCTTACAATGGAGTGTGGTTGACTTACCAGAGACTACACTCAAAGAAAACTGGTTCTCCTCCTAGCAGCTAACCACTATCAATAGCTCTAGGGCTATTGGTGGGATTTCATGCCCAACTCCACCTTCTGTGCTAGAATTTGGTCTGCTTTGGGCTTGTACAGGTCTTATGCATGCTATCCCAACCATTGTGAGCTCATATGTGCAGCTTCCCTGTTGTGCCCAGAAGACACTGGTTCCCAGTCATCCACTGCCTCTGTCGGACAATCTTTCTGACTCCTTCTTCCACAATAATCCCAGAGCCTTAAGGAAATAATGTGGTATTTATGTTCCATTCAGGGCTGATCATTCTGCAGTTTCTTATTTCCTGTACCTTAGGAGGGTAATGGAGACCAAAAAGACTACATGGTGAACCCAAAGTAGATGATACATATCTTTACCTAGAAACAAATCTGAAGAAAAAAAATGACTATCCTTCTTCTCTTTTGAATGAAAGATTGAGGACAAGGACTGACATTAACCCAGGTCCTAGATCTCAACTGAACTTAAGGGAAAGCAGGTGACAAAGCTTACTAAGTCTTAGTCTTCTTGTAACTCTCACACATAGCCCTGATATTTTAGCGGACCCTGATGGAAAGAATAAAGATTTATAGTTGGCTAAATGCACACCTACCTTCTCTAGATCATTAGGATGGACCCCTTGAAATTACTGGCCACCAGGCAAAGCACCGATCATAGCAAAGCTGGGTGTCAAAGTTCTACAAAAGCATTGTAACCCACATACGTTTGTTTTCTGCGCAACCCACTGTTTCTGTTTCCTACTTTGTGATTAGCTTTTTTACTTAGAAAGAATATTCCTTATTTAATACAGTAAAGCATAAGGTTGTAAATAATTACAACCAAGTGATCAAAAGTTAGAAGATGAAATTTTAGAACAAAAACACTAATGCTATTTTGGTATAAAGCTGCCTCTATTCCACCATCAAATGATCCAGGTGGTTTGGCACCTACTGAGCCCCCCTCCTTTTTTGCATTTCCTTTCATGTATTTCCATGATAGCATCTATTAGTTCCTTTGAAAAGACTCCTGAGACTGGTAATAAGGAGTGTATTAATCGTTGTCTTCATACAATGTCCTTGTTAAGAACATTTTTTTAAATAATGTAATTTTCACTTGAAATGCTGATACTAGGTAATGTCTTATCCTGCTTTATCATACTGAAAGAAGAAAATCCCTTTATACCTTAAAACTATATATTATGTTTTGGCTGGATGTATAACTGAATTGAAAAGTACTAGTTTAGCATATTCAAGGTCCTGGGTTCAATTCCTATCGCTGAAAACAAAACAAAGCAAAAGACACCTGCATGGTTTAATATACACAGTACACAGATAATCCTCAATTTACAGTGATTTGTGTGTTAATAAACCCACGTAAGTTGAAACTGTACCAATTGCAACTAACTTATAGAACATTTCAAGTTTAGCAATACAACACCCTGGAGAGTATTTCTCTTCATGATCACAGTGCATATTTGAGGTGTGTAGCTCACTGCTGATGCCCAATATCATGTAAGAAGATTGAACTACACAGTGCTTACTAGCCTGGGTTGGAAGGGGATCAAAACTCAGAATTTTAGTTTCTATTAGAAAGCACATCACTTTTGCATGACAGTGAAGTCAAAACACCATGCCAAGCAATTCTAAGTTAAGAACTGTATGTTTTATGTTAAGATAGAGGTTCTGTTCAGAACAAGAACCTTGGTTTATAACACCTGCATTGACTAAGCCAGCCATGGGTCCTTTAGGGCTAAGGCCTTCATACAAATTATCACATTTAATATCTGCAGCAACTTTATCAAACAAGCACTATTGTTACTCTCATTTCAAAAACTAGGAGACTGAAGCTCACAGATCATACATAACTAAAAAGCCTGTCAGCTATTACTGTGGAGCCCAGTTTCCAACCCAGGCCTGATGGTTTCTGGAAATCTAACTGCTTAATCATCACGTTTCTCACCTGAGTTTAGAGTTGTCATATAGTATAGGTTTGTAGTTTTAGAATAACCTAGATTTCTAAAACTATAAATGGAGAGGTGGTAGAGTAAGTATGGAAGCTGCAGCACTCAGGAGAGATACTGAGAAGAGCACTGAGAACTACCAGCCTTCAACTGTCACTTCTGTATGACTCTGAACTTCTCCGATAAGCAGGCTGTTCTAGGGTCCCCATCTCCCTGGCTAAGCCTTTCTCCAAATTGTACTACCTAGTTGTGGTTTTTTTTAAGATTTATTTATTATGTTTACAGTGCCTGCATGTATGCCTGCATCAGATCTCATTAAAGATGGCTATGAGCCACCATGTGGGAATTGAACTCAGGCCCTCTGGAAGAGCAGCCAGTGCTCCTAACCTCTGAGCCATCTCTCCAGCCCTGTACTAACTAGTTAAAGTTCTTCCTAGCCAGCACTCCTTCCTTGCCTTCTCATTTCACAGGGATCAGACCTGACCTGCACAGCACTCTGATGGTAGCAGGCATTACCTGTGTCTTCTTGATCCTTCTCCTTTCATCCCACAGAGGTCTTTCCTCTAATATACCTGTTGGAGGTCTAACTCTGTCTTGACACCTAGCAATTCAACTTTGAGCATTTTCTTTATAAATGAGATAAAGCATTCACTGTGTGAGTATAAATAGTGCATAATTATTAAAACAACTTTAAAATAAATTTTTCCAGACGGATTTTTTTCAAAATTACAAGCATTGAGCTCCAGGTACAAATAGTTTATATGCTGAACAAGTCTACTTTTAAAGCCTGAGATTCTTACCCATGGTATTTTTATTGAACAATATTATCAGCGTAACACTTTTAGTAACAGTAATCATTTACCATTGCAGTATTTCAATTAAACAAATAAATTGTGGCTGGGTGTGTACATACCTATAATCTCAATACTCAGGGAAGAGAAAGACACGAGGACAGTGAGTTCAAAGCCACCCTGGGCTATCTGGCTAGACATGTCTCAAAAAATTAAATTAAAATTAATTCAAGAAATAAAACATGACAACAAGAAGACACTTCTCTGAGCTCACTGCAGCAAATTTCTCCTTCAATTCTAATTTCAGCCTCATGTGTCACTGTTAAGGGGACCAGCAACCTCAGCAACTACTCAGTTCCCCTGGGGTTTTTGTCTGTTCTAGTCATAGCCTCCTTTGCTCCCAATTCCAATTAATTGGAATAGCACAGTATCTGCCATCAGATTTTCTTCCTTTCCTATAGTTATTGCACTGCCTTCTAAAAACATTGTTGGTGTCAGCAAAAAAAACAGGAAACTTGATTCAGCCCTAGGCCTGCCTCCCACTGGTGTCTGGAACCTGTGATGCTGAGCAGTGGAGAGCTAAGCATATAAATAGAGGAGACAAGGGCTGGGCCTCTGTGATGGGACCTGTGGCCAAGTCGAACAGATCCATTATTCATGCCCACATGTGTGAATGTGCAATGTAAACCAGTGGCTAGATGTAGAAGAAAATACTCCAGAGGAAGGGAAATACACACTGCAGAAAGTGGAGAGCCAAGAAGTATACAATGTATTCACCTTGTCTGTGTTATTCTCCATATACCTCAAGGTGTACTCATCAGCATTAAGCAGAATAAACAGGTAGCCATTTATATTCACTGTGGTTCCAATATAGAGCTCCTCAGCCTTGATGTATTCTGAAAATTCACTTTTAAAGACTTCTTGACCAGGCTTTTTCACGCGACTTCTTTTCAAGAACATCCCACCAGTGTTTCCTAAAGCAACATGGAAAAGAAGAGTCCATGGGTTGCTTCATTCTTAGAAGAACCACAACTTGCCTTTAGTTACTTTCTCTTCCAACACAGATGGTACAAATTATCTGTAAAGTCATGTTGCACACTGTGGGAGGGAAGAATAGGGTAGTGGGCAAAGAAACAACATTTTTTTCTTGGGTAACTCTTAAACACTGTTGGAGAGAATGTAAATTAGTGTAACAACTGTAGAAATTATAAGATAATTCCTCAAGAAATTAAAAATAGAACTTGCACATCATCTAGGTGTATAACAAGCCTGAGTATAGATCTATAAGGCTCAAAGGCAGATTACTACAAAGATGCCTGTGTACTCGGATATGTCACAGTGGCCAAGTTATGGAATCAGCCATAGGTGTTCACCTACTACTTTCTCCCTTTCCTCTGTCCTTCATAGGAGTTAGAAAGTATGACAGCCAGGTGTGGTATTAGATATAATTCTAACACTTGGGAGGTTGAAGCAGGAGATAATGAGTTTTAGTCCTTGCCTGAGCTACATAGTGAGACTATGGAGAAAGTGACAAGAGGAGAGGAGATTGGAGGAGGAGTGGGGTGGGAGTAAGTGGGAGAGAGAGAGAGAGAGAACCCACTGCAGTCTGATAGTTCTCTAGGCTTCTTCTGGTTCCTTCCATATTTTGTTGTTGATGTTTGTTTGTTTGTGTTGTTGTTGTTGTTGTTGTTGTTTAAATAAATCTCTTCCACATTAACCCTGTCTCTAAATCTGCCTCTTTTTTTTTTTTTTTTTTTTTTTTTTGGTTTTTCAAGACAGGGTTTCTCTGTGTAGCTTTTCGCCTTTCCTGGAACTCACTTGGTAGCCCAGGCTGGCCTTGAACTCACAGAGATCCGCCTGCCTCTGCCTCCCGAGTGCTGGGATTAAAGGCGTGCGCCACCACCGCCCGGCAAAGGACCTAACCTATTGTGAAACTTAAGGATGATAGTAAGTCCTCAGTGATGGTCATGATTTGTAAGCCTTCTATTTTACAAATGCAATTTGCTTGGCCCCATCATTACTTTTCTAAGTGTACAAAATTGATATCTCTGACCATTCAGAACATGTCATATGCTCATCCTTGGTTTCATATTTTAAGATTTTTCTATTATTCAAATCATACTGGGGCCTGACTTAGCTCTACAAATAATTCATTATTTATCAGCATGCTAAATGACTAAAGAAGCTTGAGTATATGACCTGACTGTTACATTTTTAGACTCTTGCATGCCACTTTTAAAAACTTGTTGGTTTCTTGAAACAGGCCTTGATCAGGATATTCACAACACATAAATTGGCAAATGGTACAAACCAAAGTTTTTACTTATTTTTTTTCTGAAAGAGCCAGTTGAGCTGGTTATTCTTCTCAAACATATGTCTTCAGTGCAGATAAAAGTTGTAAACATGTTGAAACAAAGAACAGAGCCCTACATTTCCAAATTTGTAAGTCAATGGCTGTCCTCAGCATTAGCCACGAGATTAACAGACTGGAGAACATTCCACAGGCCTGGGGGCAGGACCTTTGGCAATAGCCAGAACAAACAGAAGTACCACAGAAAGATGGATTCTGAAGATTAAATTTGTATATCTTGTATTATTTTCTTAACTAGGCAATGATTTTGTAAGCAGGACAATAGAACACTCTCTTGGCTCTCTGGCTGTGAATGTGACTGGTGGCAGTCAAACCATGACTTTGAAGCCCCAAGGTTCCTTAAGAGTACCTCAGAAAAAAAAATGATAGGGGATTTCCCCTGGGTAACTGACCACAGCTGTTCTTTGTTTATCATTTTATATATTTGGGTTCACATTTAAGACAGTGTTGTAAGAAGAAATTTATTGGTTAGAAAATCATCATCACAGATCTTCTAGGCAATCAAATCAGATTATATTCTCTAATTTCGAAAGAAAAAGGCAGCTGAGTGTTCTGAGAAAATGCTGAGTAAGATAAGTCTCTTACCTGAATTCCTCTCTATAGGTTCAAATACTGAAATTGTGTCATCACCGAGATAAAACGCAATAACAAACATCCTGTCCGCATCAGCACATTTGTCTGTGACTAGTTTTGCAAAATACCGGAGTGTATTACTTATGTTTCCATAGCTAAAAAGAAGAGACATGAAAGTAAGAGCATTATACCAGTAATCCTCTATACATCATAAATATTGCAAAAGGTGTGCCATGGCTTTAATATAGAAGTTTATTCCTTTCTAAACAGTCTACACATCTTATCTAAACACTGAAGGATTTTTCTCAGTAGATTAAAATCTTTCCTGTTCTTTATTATGTCTGACAAATATACTGAAAACTAGGCCTGGTGGCACATGCTTGAGATCCCAGCATTGGAAGGGAGAGACAGGCAGTTCTTTGAGGCATACTGGTCAGCCAACTGAGCCTAATCCTTAGGCCAATGAGAGACTCTATCTTAAAAAACAAGCTAGGTGGCTCCTGGAAAGCACCAAGGTTGATCTCTGGCCTCTATGTGCACGCACACAGACATGAACCTTCACGAATGTGTACACAACCAAAAAATTCATAACCACCTGCTCAAAGCAGGTGAATTAATCAGCTGTTCTCTGATCATGAAGCTGGTCAACAATCACAGTAATTCTGTCAGATAGATGTAGCTGGAAGTTTTCCTGTGTCCTGCCTAGTCCTGCAGCTGCTCAGACCCAAATAAACACACAGAGGCTTATATTAATTACAAACTGTATGGCCATGGCCTATGGCTCAAGCTTTTTGCTAGCTAGCTGTTATAACTAAACTTATCCCATTTCTATTAGTCTATATGTCACCATGTGTTCTGTGGTTTTACCTGTGTGCCATTACATGCTGCTCCCTGGATGGCGGGATTACATCTCTCTCCCCTCTCTTTTCTTTTTCCTGTCTCCCTCTTCAATTTCCCACCTAGCTATAATCTGACTTGCCATAGGCCAAATGGCTTTATTTATCAACCAATCAGAGCAACACATATTCACAGCATACAGAAAGATATCCTACAGCAGGTAGAGGCATAAACATTGGCCTAAGGCAATCCAGATGACATACTCTACTGGGCTCCTGGGACACCTGTCTCAGGTCCAGGACTTTTCTGCCTTGCACCTCACATATACCCCTCTCTATCACTCCATTTCTCTAGGATCATTCCCAACTCCTTTCAAGGAAAACATTAACTTTTCCCCTTCATAAACATCATGACTATGTCTCCATTTTAATGTACTTATTATTTGTATTGTATGTAGTCATTACATGTCTGTTTTCAAAGGGAAATGCTGTCTTATTTTAACCATTATCTGCTATAACATTTTTATATTATATTATACTAAATGTTTTCAGAAAATTACACCCATAAAGATAAAATTAGAACTATGTGAATGAATAGGTGAGTAAAGATGGAATGGAATAAAATTTAAACATTTTCTCAGGTAAGCAATGGTAACACACACCTGTAGCCCCAGCACTGGGGAGGCTGAGTTCATGAGTCTAAAGCCTGCCTGGGCTACACAGTAAGACCTTATCTTAAAAATAAAAGAAATAGTTACCAAAGTTGGTTGCATGAGCAGTGAACTAAGTAACTCATGGTCTCTCAGTAAAAAAATACAGCTGCAGTTACTAGCCAGTGAAAGTTAGCCCTTCAACAAAAAGTAAGCCCTTGGGGAGGTCTCTGATAATAAAAAGCATTACCCTTACAAGTATCCATTCCCTTCATCACTTCCCTATCACTTTCAGATTCTCCTATCCTGAAATCCATTCTTTGTGTTCACAGTGATACAAACCACAACAAAGTATTTCAAATTTGCAAAGGCATAACATGCTCTTCTTCTGCCCCTTCTTGAACTGTATAGGAAGGTGCCCTGGGAAAGTACAGTGGCAAGATTGCCAACTTGAGGCCTGTGTGAGACATAGCACAACAGTTTGTAAAGCTCATCCCAGACAGCCTGGGAAAAACCACCAGTGGGGTCACAATTTGGATTTTCCAAAGTGCCTAGTTCCAAAGCTTCAGATGGACCTTATAAACTATTTGGGCCAGTTATGTTATATCAGTTACCTTCTCTGGTACCTATTTGAATTCACAAGTAAGAAATATTTAACAGCATCCTCTTCTAAAAGACTCATATATATTTATGAGTCTAAAACATCAATAAACAATTGAATGAGTTCTAATCAAAGTCCAAATGAATACTATTTTAAATTTAACTTCTTAGGACTTCAGTTTATAAGTGCATATGTTTACTGTGAATATTTGAATATGCCACTCATTTCCACCCCCCTTAATTCTAGTATTCTGGATATCTCATCAATTGGTAACATAAACCTACTCAATAAAATTGAGTCATTCATGAAGTCTGATGTACATAAAAGTCACCTGGAAAACTTGTTACATATGCAGAATCCATAATCTCACCACCAGAGATACGAACTCACAAGTGAGCTTATATTTGCAGAAAACTGCATTATTAATGTGCTACCAGGGGAGTCTGACAAGATAGTTCCCCAGAGGAAATTGTAAGAAAGCTCTAAATATTTAAAAATATTTTCTTCATATAAGCCAATTAACAAATTCCTGTACACTTTTGATCACAGTCTCTACCCTCCCAAGTGATCAACTACTCATATCACTTGCATCAACCATGATGTCACATTTAGCAATTTAGCACTATACAGTCCTGTACTCTTGGCTGGTTGTCTTAAAATGTGTTTATTCCCATTGTCCCAAAACAAATTATAAATTCCTAGATTTAAGATGCATGTCTTAATGTTTTAGACATACAGTCCAATGTTACCTACCTTCACTGCATTGAATTCTCCCCACCATCCCTTTCCTGCTATCTTCCCCATGCTGGGGATTGCATGCAAGGCCTGAAGTATGCCAGTAAGTCTTATCCCCTGCCCCTTCTCATTTCATTTAAATCCATTTCTATTGGTAAAGGGTTGTTTTAGCTAAACTGTTCTTACAAAATTAACAATCATCTCCACAATGCCAAATCCAGTTCTTAGTCATTTTTTGCATCTAATTTTACTAATCAGCAACTTCTTCTATGACACTCTCAATCACTTGACTCAAAGCATTATGCATTTTTTTTAGCTTTATGTCATTCTTATATCTTTGTTTGTCCCACGTCATCCTCTTTCAGTGGTTCCTTCTCTTTTCTCCAAATGCTTAATTTGGGATGTCCCAAGGTTTCTTGACATCTATTCATCCTTTGTGATCTAACACAGTCTAAAAGCTTTAGTACAATTTGGCATCATGAACAAATATGCTAACTACATGCTGATGACTTCAAAATTTACACCTCCAGCTTAGACCTGCCTCCTGAATACCCTCAATACATACCATACCCATCTTCACTTGGTATCTAATTGCCATCTCAACTTGTTCTAAAACTGAACTTGAGTTCTTGCCCCCAAACCCATTCTACCTATGGTACCATTCCAATTACTCAGGTCTAAACACTGAGACATCTATAGCTCTTCTTTCACACCTCATATCTAATCTGTCAGGAAGTCCTATTAGCTCTACATTCAAAACATGTCCAGAATCTGCATTTCATTTCATCCCTCCAGTAGTACTCATCCAGATGTGATAACTTTTCTGTTGGACTATTAAAGCAATCTCATAGGTTGTCTTCAATCTACTACCATCTTTGTATAGTCCATTCTTAACACTTCATAGGAAAGATTCTTCCAATAGGCCAGCCCAATCAAGTCATTTCTCTAGTCAAATCTCCTAATGCTTCTTCCTTATCTTTCTAAATATCAAGAGTCCTTATGATTGCCTGCAAAACCTTATATGATCTCACATTTTGTTACTTTTACCTCGCGTTTATGAGGTACATTCTGCCCTTTCCTCATCTTCTCTATCCACGTTGGTCTCCTGGAGAGTTTCTACATACTCCATGCATATGCATTGTTCAGAGTGTTTACACTGACTCTGCCTTCTGCTTGGACTATGTCTCTTTGCCTCAGAAAGGTCTATCAGAGCACCACTGAAAACTGCAACTAGGGACAGTCATCATTCATATACTCCTAGATCCTTCACGTGGAAAATTAATGTTTTCTTTTTTTAATGTGATACTTAACACATTCTATGTACTATTTGATATACTTGAATACCTTTACTTTCTGGCATATCTCTGTCAATGAGAAAGAAGTTTTATGAGAGAAGGTGGGATTATATGGCTGCTTTTTTCATTGATATATCACAAACACCTAAGTAAATGTCTGTCACACAGGAGGTCCTTGGAACATATTTGTTGACCACCCTACCCCAAGTTCACCTATAACTAAGAACAAACAAACAAGAACAAAAGATCTAGAGAAATAGTTCTCAAACTTCCAACTACTGAGACCCTTTAATATAGTTCCTCATGTTGTGGTGACCCCCAACCATATAATGATTTTCATTGCTACTTCATAACAATCATTTTGCTACTGTTATGAATGGTAATGTGTTTTCCAATGGTCTTAGGTGAACCCTGTAAAAGGGTTGTTCAACTCCAAAGGGGTCGACCCACAGTTTGAGGACCACTGCTCTAGAGATAAATAAGTCTTCATATTGGAAAGCATATGAAGACATTATTTTAGATAATGGTAGAAAAAAATAAGGGGAGTTGGTGGCAACAAAAGATGGACAAGACCTGAAACCAGTGAAAGATTAATATTAATATTAAGAACCATAACTTTTTGGAATCTATATGGTTAGAATAGCAGAAGTATGAGATGATAACTTTCCTGTTAAGAAGCTATCTGCTTTTATTTTGATCCATCATTAAAAACTGGATTAGTGGGCCTGGAGAGATAGCTAAGCAGTTAAGGGCACTTGTTGCTTTGGAAGAGGACCCAAGTTCAGTTCCCAGCACCCACATAGCAGCTCACAACCACCCATAACTTCAGTTCCAGAAGATCTGATGGCCTCCTCTGACCCCCAGAAGCACTATGCATGAATGTGGTGGACATACATACATGCAGACAAAACACTCATACAATAGACATATTTTTTTAAAAAGAACAGGACTAGCAAACATGTTTTCAACCACTGTACTTATTTATCTGCACCTTTTCTTATTGGATGAAACATTTGCTGGCATTCTTCAAACTCTCAGGTAAACAATAAAACCAGTCTCTTACTCCAAGGAACTCTTAGTCTGGGGGAGCCCAGAAATTACATATGTGAGTAATCCCCAAGTCATGTGGTAAGTACAGATTCTATGGCAAGGAAGATAAACTCCAGAAATGAAATTTCCCTGGATTCACTCCCTAGTTTAACTAAAAATTAGCTGTGAGTTTGGACAAGCTGCAGAACTTCTTAGAGTCTTGTTTTCCTCATTTGAAAAATAAGTGTAAGAATATAATCTGTTGTCTTCTAAGGCTGCTTTAAAGATTAGATGATATCAGATTTTATAAAGTAGTTAATTCAAAACAAACTACTAACTGCTTCTTATCACTAGTGCTATTATTATTAGAAGTATGATCAGCAGAGTATTGTGTGTACAAAGAGAACAAAGTACTTCAGTCCTGTTCAGCCAGTTTGTGCCAGTTACCATGGAAACAAGTTCACTGTGTAGGAGGAGCTTGAAGGAAGTATATTCCTGACACAAAACAAGCACTGGACAAAGAGAAATGAAATTAGAGACATTTGTGTCTATATCTATCCCCATTCTCCAGCCCACTAAAGTATGACTTACATGTACAATCCTATCTGTAGTTAGGGGCCTCAGGGCAGTTTTACAGGGCAGACAGAAACTAAGCGAACTATCCACAAAGAACTATTTTTACCTGGCTTTAGAAGCAACACCCTAGATAATATTTCATATTATTTGTTTTAAGAAAACTTCCCTGTTCTTTTACAATAGGGATATTCTTCTCTTCCATATCCTCCAGGTGGCTGCCCTTAAAAACAGTAGTTACTGAAAAAAATGTCCATCAAAGTCTACCCTGGAACCTAGCCATAATAATGTTGCCAACAAGAGAACATGGACATGTTGACGTCCCTCTTATGTGTAAAAATCACTTGATTCTCAAACACTGATGCACCTCAGGATCCCCCAGGGTGCCTGTGTAAAGAGATTGTTGGGCCCCACCCCAGCATTTCTTTCTCACTCCATCCAGAAGTAAGCGCAAGAGTTAACATTCTACCAAGTATGGGAACCACACTTAGAGAAGTAGAGTTTGAAATTTAAATAAAACTCTAAAGTTCTTAAAAATAAACAGTAATTTCTTGAAAGACAAATGACATCATATCACAGCAAAGGCATAACTTCCCACATTCCATATAATTTACAGCCAGACAGTTAAACCATTTTTATAGATATAGCATAACATTTTATTCTCTTTCTTTCAAATTTTGACAACAGCATGGGACTCATTCAGTTTGACTAAATTCCAGGTGCTTTTTCTTCTTCAAATCTTAAGACATGTTCCCTTTATCATTTTTCTCCCAGAATCTCCCAACCCATTATCTCCCTCACACAAAGCCACAATTTTTAATTTATATCCTATTCAAGCATCTGCAACATTTCTCCACAATTTTTCCCTGACTTTTTTCTCCAAGGCCTGCTCATCCTGAAGAACCAAAAGGTAGACATAACCAGTGCTCATATTCTACGTGAACAATTCAAGAGCAGCTTGTGCCTCATGTGTATTAGGGATACTTTGGAAAATCTATCTTTTGAAATTACATTCAGCAATATAAGCAGTCTATTCCCATTGAACTCAAACCAAACCTCTCAAGTCAAAGCAACATGAATTTTCTAAAATTACATGTTGAAAAACACTAACAAATCACTGAAATCTCTATATCAGGGGTTGGCAAACCATAGTCTGTGAGACAGATCCAGCTGGCCACCTGTGTTTGTAAGCCTTTGAGCTAAATGTTGTTTGTACACTTTTATGTGGTTGAAAAGAAAAATATCAGAATAATATATTGTGATATGTTAATGTTTTATGCAATTCAGATGTCAATGTCCATAAAATGTTTTATTGGAACACAGTTACACATGTGTTTACATTCTGTCCATGTAGCTTTCATGCTATAATGGCATATCTGAGTGGCTGTGATGGAGGCTGTATGGCCCACAAATCCAAAGCCATGTACTCTCTGACCTTTGAAATCTGCTGACTCCTCTTCTACATTATTTCCTCAAGAGAGAGAAAGACAGATAGATATGGAAAGACATCAGGCAGGGGGTGATATGACTTTAGATGTCTCCAAATAACACATTAAAATATGAACTGTCAATAGGAAGAAGCTGTCAATACCTGTGCATTCATCAACCTCATTGGAAAGCTACAGTAACATGTCCCTGGGCTCAAATTCAAATGAGCTGTGTGACAGGGTTATGTCATAAATTCTAAACATCTTTGGGAAAGCTAGGACTATAATCAAGGTCCCCTCAGGCACCTGTCTAGTTCCACGAATTTTTTGAAGTTCCTCCGATGAGGTGTGGGCTTGAGGCCCACACAGGAGCGGAAAGAATCCTCTTCAGATCCAAAGCCAGTGTAAGGTGGGTACTTCCTTTCTATTTTTGGAAGAGGAGGAGGCTTGCATGAAATGGCGGTAAAATTATCTATAACAAAACACAGGCAAACAAAACATCAATATTTTTTTGCCCTGGTTATGGTTGTTTTTAAAGGTCTGTTATTATTTCAAGATGAACATGGAGATTTTGTACACTATTTTAAACTCTTTCAAACAAAACATGGTAAAATCCTATGAGAGTAGGTTTCAATCATGTTTATAAAAACCACAGAGCTCACTTAATACTCATTGGTTCAAAAGAAAAAAAAAGCAGAAATCTTTGTCAAATAACCTCTCACCCCCATTTCTGAATATTATTTTGCTCTTCTCTTGATTTTTCCAATGATATGAAAATTCAAACTTGAAACTTTATGCCATCAATTCCATATTTTAACCTGTAATTTGGCCCTCTCTTATCTTCAGTCAACACTCACTAATAAAAATTATTTTCCAAATAGGACTGACTCCTGACTGCTTCCCTTTTAACTTTACCCATTGGCCAGTTCCTCATCCTTGGATCCACTTTTTAAGTCCTCTTTTTTTGCCTCCAATTCAACTCTAAGACACTGTACTTCACTGTCTATTAAAAAACAAATAGAAAAATAAAATCCCCTTCCTGTCACCAACCACTGTTCAAGGTCACTCATGTTATTGCTCAAGATAAGATTGCAACTATAGTTGTAATGAAGCAAAAATGCAGTTAAGGATACCCCACCGCCTACACTCTCAAATGGAATGTGACATGGTCAATACTGTTGACTTTATTTTTTACTTATCATGTGTAAAAAAGGAAAGACTGGGGCAAGCTTATAATATCTCTTAGGTAATCATTATGGGGCTGTGTCATCTCTAAGAAGCAAGTGTGCATTCTAGAACAAATAACATACTGACCCAATCTATCCATGTCACTATGTTTGACCCACTACAAATGGCAAAGGAGATTCTAGAACATTTCTCAAAACAAAATTAAAACAGACTACTATCTTTGTCTTTCTTTCTTCCCTATGCTTGATAGGTATTTCAGTTGTGAACAAAAAGAGTTCTACAAATGTAATATTTCCTTCTCCATGGTCAAAATTCTAATAGAAGAAAGAATCCAGATTTTGGTATATACCACCATTAGAAAAAAAAGACACCAATTTGTCATCTAAAATGCTAAAATTTAAGGGGATTTGTTAATTGATCAAAAGGTATGAAGCCAATTGTAATTCTGATTTCAAAACATTTTTCAGCTTTCAATTTTTCTTAGATTTCCTAGCTGGTTTGTGTGAAATTTCCTGAGGCACAATCCCCAGAAGAGTATTGTTCCATCTTAACGGAAACTGCTCACAGCAGACATGCTGACAAAGGAATTGCCATCAACTATTTCTCACTGGCTCAGTGAAAAGATACAACCAGTGTTTCCTTATAGAAAATCTCATGAACCTTTCCTAATGTTCATTTTGTGATTAAAGAGACATTTTGGTAATAAGAGAAAAGCACAAATCTTCAAGTTTGAACTGCAGTAGACTCTATCCTTGCTCACCATTACATCAAAAACACCACTGATTGCTACCTTTGTTCCAAGGCAAGCACCATGGAAATGGCAGGAAAGCTTTTATGTAATTAGAAAATTCGGGCCTGAGCAGTTTCTTCCAACAGGGGGCATATACATACAGCTCTACCTACTAGTCAGAGTGCACTGACCAAAAGATTGCATTACACACTAATCTGAGGACACTAACCAAAAATTTTGATTCTTAAGCATAAAGTCACTAAGAATATATTCTATAGCCTTCATTACAAGTCTTAAAACATGGTGTTGTTTTCTCAACTACCTAATTTTTGCAACAGATTTAAGTAACAAAAGAACCAATTTAGAGCTTTCCTCTGCACCCACAGTGCCATCTAGTGTATAAAAAATGAGAATTGTTCCACTTCACCACCCTTGACTTTTATAACATCATATAGACCCTTTTGGAAACTCTGGATCAAGATTCAACTTTAAATCATATCTATTTGGTAGCTCACATAGGTTCACAAAGCCACAGAATCATACAGGAATGAGAAGTTGGTTGTCATTGGGTTTTGATCACCCCATCTACCCTGCTTATTTCAGAAATGTTGAGCAAATGAAAAGGCACATACTTTTGTATAAGCATCTTCCCAAATATGTTCTATAACTAATATCTGGGTAGACACTGAAACACTCATGTCTTCCAAATACTTTGAGTCCTCTCATTCCAATGACTTGTACATATGAATTGAATGCCTATCCATGACTGAATAGATTCAAACAAACTTCCGAGAGACTGTGTATAGAAATGGAGTCTAATGGTTCTCCATGCCATCTCAGGTGGAAGCATTATTGAGGAAAGACACTAAATTCCTCAAAAGTTTATCTCCTATGATCTAATAACCCAGACTTTAGGAAATCAGAAGCTTACATAATTTTGAAAAAGAATCTTCAAGCCAAAGAATGCCAGATTATTAAGACAAAATTAGGCCAGGGCTTTGGACTAGGACCCCTATAAAGGAAGAACTTTGAAAACTAAGCAACTGTCCTTAGCTTCAAAGGAAATCCACCTCTGCTTGTAGTCAATACCTAGGCTAAACAATTAGTGAATTATATAGTCAGAACTCAAAGTTCTATTCTCCAACCATCCTTACTAAGTCTATAGGGGGAGTGAAGTAAGTAAACCTTGGAAGTCCATCATGGCCATGCGGTAAGCCATAAACCAGTCCTATGTCTGCTGCTACAGTTTCCTCAAGTGATCACTGACTTGTCCTCTACCATGTCCCCCTCCTTCTAGTCCTGAGAGTCCAGAGATAGCCTGAATTGATTATAGAAAATGAAAGGTGCTTTAAAATTGTCTTCAACCTTATTCTTAACATAAGTACTCAAAACCATTGAGAATGAATGATTCTGTTATTGCTTTGGTTTTGCCAACATTAGAAAATATTCCTATAAGCTCAGTATAGTGCTATAGGCCTGGAAATCCCATTAATGGGAGGCTGAGTCAGGAAGATTGCCATAAATATAGGGCCAGCTTGTTTTACATAATGAGTACCAACTCAGCCAGGACTACACGCAAGACAGTGTTAGAGGAAAGGAGACAGAAGAGAGAGGAGAAAGTAGAGAAAAATCTTATTAATCAATAAACTAAGGCATAAATTCCTAGATAAGAATAGTTAAAATTCAAATCTTTGTCTTTTCAGTACCAAGAAGGACAAACTAGAACCCCTGGAACATTTTAAAGTCTTCATCTACAGGAAAGCCCAACAGACTTCTACCTGCCAATCTGATTTGTTCACATCAACAGTGAGGGAGTACTCCATCCCGGCAGGCAAGCCACCTGCAGCAGGAGGCCACACTGCTTGATGCAGGAGTTACAATGGACAAGACTGTGCAAAATATCTATGGAATTACTATCTCCTTGGAATCCTAAAATGAAGGAATCTCATCTTTCTAGGGGACTGCTTTGCATACAGAGGCTCAAATGTCTTTCAGAATTCTATCAAGCCCTGTACTACTTCTACACAAATAGAAAAGATATCCATACATCTTCCTTGGATTATGGCCAACTCCTTTTCTGCCATTTTTCCCCTAAAATAAAATGGAACTTTACAACATAAGACAAGGCTGAATAATGCATTAGAAATGGTCCCCGAGGACTAGGGAGATGGCTCAGTTGGCAAAGTTGCTACACAAGCATGAATATCTAAATTCTATACCCAGAATCTATGTAAAAAATAGGCAGGCATGACAGCATGTGCCTATAATATCAGCAATGGGGAGATGGGGTTTACTGGCTAGCCAGTCTAGCAGAACTGATGAACTCTAAGTTCATTGAGAGTCTATGTCTCAAAATTAAGGTAGAGAGGCATTGAGGAAGACCCAACATTGATCTCTTGCCACCACATACACACATATGCAGCCACCAACAGGAACACATACACACACATACACACGAGAGAGAGAGAGAGAGAGAGAGAGAGAGAGAGAGAGAGAGAGAGAGAGAGAGAGCCTCTTCCTTCTTTCTTCCAGGACCACAGTTACTGGTGGCACTTTGTTCTGGTTTAGGCTTCAGTAACAGCAAAACATAATATATAAGATTATATCTTATCAATTTTTAAGACCACATGAATTATGAACAAAATTATCACCCTTACCATCACATTAATATTATTCATTAAAATTGCTTGTTAATGTTTATGTTAACTGTTAAAGTACATGGAAAAGTTTCTCACCCTTATAAATATTTTTACCAACATGTCACAGTCACTAATGAAGAAAAATAAAGATCACTTCTCTATTTTTTAAATGCCAGAAATAACCACATTTAAGTAACATGAAGTATATTAATTTAACTTTACAAAAGTTATCAAAAGCAAATGTAAAGATTATTAGAGAATGTGAATCTACTTCTCCAGATTCCACCATGCATATAATTTACAGTCATTTGTAACATTAAGTATGGTATTAAAACTCAAAAATTATTTTGTAGTAGTATTTTTTAAACAGGATTATTTTAACACGTGAGAAGTATTAAAAGTTGGCGTGACTATGAAATGCATCCTAAACTCGTATTTGCATAATTTTCTGCTTAAAAATACACTGTTAACTTTAAAGGCACATAGTACATTTTTTACATAATATAGTATCAGTCTAGAGAGAACAAAGGAAATGGACTAAAAGAAATTAAACACTAGGACAGATTCGACTGGAACAGACTACAAGGCATTTGAAGCTGATACATTTACCCAGAACAGCTAGGTTTGGGGCATACCAGAAAATTCATGCTATCTCATAAAATTCCCTGTAGAAGCTACTAAAGATGTGGATGAGTGACTGAGTCCCTTCACTACAGCATCCATTTTTCCTAATACAAATACTGTATTCTCAAAACCAAGCTGACAAACATCAGCCAAATTTGGAACTCTGTTTGGGAAATCATACACTATTTTGGAATTGTTATGGTAATCTGTAAATCTTCTACCACATCCTTTCATGAGAGTAATCTTCAGGAATCTTCAGGTGTATGTAATGGTTTTCAGTGAGCCATCATCAAATTCCCAAATCTTCATTGAAGGTGTACTGATTCTAAACAGGTATCTATATTTATTAAGGGCAAATTCTTTTCCCCAGTGATTTAAGGGCCACTAGAACCTTCTCTAGAGCAGCTGCTACCTATACAATCATTCCTACATGATTGTCTATAATCCTTGAAGTAAATATATTCAGCTGTGTCCACTAAAAGAGAACCAGTTCTAGACACAAAAGTGAGAGACCAGGCACCAAGTTGACTCATGTCTGACCCAGACATGTTCATGAATCTAGCATGCAGATGTGGTAGAACAAATTCCCCTAATGAACCTAAAAGGGAAACCGGAAGTCCTTTGCATTCTACCCACTTTGTGTGTTTTATGCACCTTCCCCCAGAATTCACATTCCTAGGAAACACAATAATATACAGTGCAAACACCACACAAGGTCAGCAGGCCTTTTATTCTAGACACAAAGCATCTGGGTGGCTTTTTTTAGTTAAAATCTTTTCATACAATATATTTTGATCATGTTTTTTCACAGATCCTCACAGATCCTTCTCACCTCCCCATCCACCCAACTTTATATTCTAGCCCTCTCTCCCAAAACAACAAAACAAAACCCCCCACAAAAACACAAAACGAAAATAAAAACAAGCAAAAGATCAATAAGACAAAAACATGTCAAAATGAAACAAAATATCCAAGCTTCTTATTTTTAAGAAGCTACAGGTGTTCAACTTCATTTTACTCAAAGAGCATGTTTAAGTGAATACACCACAGTTCACAGAAATATACATCAATCCTCCAGGTCAACATACTACACACGCTCTAATTCAGCCCACTGTATCAGTATTGATCAGGTATAGTTTCTTTTCCTATCATTCTCCCTTAAACAATAACAACTATTTACATAGTATTTATACTGAATTAGGTATCACAAGTAATATAATATTGATTTAAAGTAGCAAGGCACCTGTTTGTTACCCAAGTTACTTAGGAGGCTAAGGTATAAGTATTGCCAAGTTCAATACAAGACTGAGCAATATGATAAGACTCTGTCTCAAATTAAATGAATGAATGAATACATAAAAGAGTATATAGGAAGATTTGTGGTTCTTTGCAAATGCTATACCATTTTATCTTAGGCATCCCCCAGAGTTAGGTATAGAGGAAGGGCTAGAACCAATTCCCTGAAGATACTGAAGGAGGATTACTGAGAGTACAAGGCACTATCACAATTCCAAACCACACCCTGGTAGGTCAACAAATCCTATCAGTTCCAGCAGCAGTAGGTATGTGGACCATGAGTAGGGATAAGGTTTAGGAAATGGGTGGAAGTGGGAGTTTAAGATTTTGGATATTAGATTTTATAGCACATCCTCTGCCTGCTTCTCTCATAATATGGTGCAGTGTTCTGCAGGTCCCAGGTCCCCTCTTTTAGACTATAAACCTCCTCTATAACTCTGCATCACTTCTAGCCTACTGCATTGACCTACACATAGTAGGTACTTAGTAAATCACTAGTATTCACTCAACTGAACTTACTTGCCTGGAATGGACTTGATACCCATGAAAAGAGAAATGGGAAACCCAGCTGGGCCTCACCAGGAAATACAAAGCTAACTGGCACAAGAGATTTCCCTAGAGAACTAAAGTGAATGTCATCCATTATGGTAAGCAAGGATTAAGTGAAGAGAAGGGATTTAAAATTTCGAGTTCAAGTGTCCTACCAGAATATAGTGCATTACAGTGAGAAAGAGATTTATAAGGGGAAACGGGAGTCCCTGGCATGAGGCAGACAAGTTTAATTCTTGGCTCTTTCTCTCTATCGCATAACCTTGGACAACCGACCTTAAAGGGCCTCAGTTTCTTCACCTCTAACATGGAGACAATGAGCTTTTTCATAGAGGCCTGTTTTCAGGAATATGAAAAGAACAAAAGTAAATCTTAAGTGGGGCATAAAGTGATAAAATATTTTCTAACCAGCGTGAGTATCACTTACCAATTCCATACTTTGTCCTGTAATAGGTCTTGGTAAATTCATCACAGTCACAGAGGAGGACTTTCCTTCCCCACACATTGATGGTGGCACCTATAGCCAGGTCCTGGTCTGTGTAAAACTCTTGCTCTATTTTTCCTAGCTGATAAAACAGAGGAACATAGCATTGGCCCTATGTATCTATCCAAGAACTACATGCTTTTTCCCAAGAAAAGAATTTTAAAAAAATAACTTAATTGCATCATTTACAAATAAATTTTAAAATCAAATCAACTCTAAGAATTAATTTTTTATCTTTTGTACATATGTGTGTGATATGTGTTGTATATGTATGTGTGTATTCACTTGTATGATTCATGTTGAGTATAGATGTTCACATGCCACAGATCATGGAAGTTGGATGTTAATACTCACCTTCCATCTTCTTTGAGACAGGATCTCTTTGATGTTAGGCACTGTGTGTGCCAGACCAGCTAGTCTTTGAGCAGCTGAGGATTCTCCAGCTTCCCATATCACTCATAGGAGTGCTGGGATTACAGGTGAACTTTACCGTTCCTGAATTTACGTATGTTCTTGGGGGGTGTTATACTTAGGTCTTTACATTTGCACATCAAGCACCTTCCCCACTCAGCCATCTTCTCAGCCCATCTAAGCATTATTTTAACATTGTAGTGCTTGCAGAATCAATGCAATGCATATATTTCTCTATGCATTTACAATGCATATATTTCTATATGCATTTAAATATGCTTATTATTGACAAAGGGCAATAGAATGCATATGTTTATGTATTTCTTAATTTCATTCACTAGCTCACAAGGCAAGAATATACAATTCACCCCAACATCCAGGTTCCACAGAAGTCACATAGGAATCAGTAATAAAACCCCAGGATCCTCACCTGGTATTTATCCAACAGGTAGCCATCTGCTCGCCATTCTGACAAGCCCCCATACACATTGAGGACTGCTCGATTTGTTATCTGGCCTGGTTGAAAGATTCCAGGTGGGCCATACTGTAAGATAAAACCCAAACATGGTACATGTCTCCAGACACAGAGATAGATGCAGTCCTAGGATATATGCTAGAAATCGGCCTCGTATGGCTCTATTCTAACATCTGTAAGAAGCCAGTCTATCTACCTCATGTTCTGCTGCCACATGTCCTTCAGAGCCCTGATAAATGTACATTTTTTTCCTCAAACACTTCCATCCTATAGGTTTTTTCCTTCTTTTGTCTTTGTTTTTGAGACAAGGTCTCATGCAGAAGAGGATGATGTCAAACTCATGTAGCTTAGGATGACCTTGAACTCCTAATCTTCCTCTTCTACCTCCCACCTGCTAGGATTGTAGTCATATGTCACCACAGCCAGCCTTCCATCTTGCAAGTAGCAGTCTGCTTGGTTCCCCATTCAACTGCCAGACACACGGAGAACAATTTAGTCCATTGTCTGCTTCCCTTTCTAGATTTCACCAAAACATACACCATGGGCTGAAGCCACTTTCTATATTTCTCCAACTGTTGTGCAGGCAGTTATCTTTTGTATCCCCTAAGTGCAAACATCTCCAAGGAAAAGTGACTGCTTCCTTGCCTCCTTTCTTTGTTCTGTCTACCAAGCAAGTTATCCAGTCCTGAGCACAGGAAATGGGCTACAGCTAGCAGCCTGAATGTTCTCAGAACTCCAGCTTAACTCTCTCACTTCAGCAAGGTTACTTACTCCTTGCTTTGAGTGTCCAGGGTATCCCCATCTCTTCTGGATCTCACCCCAGTGAGAATCTATACTCCACAAAACAGGACATAAGCCATTTTTCTTTTTCATTACAGCCCAAGAGGTGGCACAGAGAACTCACTAAATATTTGTTGAATAAGTACATAAAATGAAGCTACTGATGGTAAGACATACTGCAAATGTCAGGTGCATCATTATTTCATATTTAACCTATTTTTCAAAGACATTCTAAAAACAGATTTCCCTGGCTCCTCCTGGAGGCCTGCTGTGCATATTCTAGAGCTCCCTCAGGGACAAACTCTGCCTCCCCCCAGCCTTGAAGCAACACAGCAGGACTTCTGGCAGTAGGCACAGAGAATCTGGGAGAGCCTCCTGTGAGGATTGAATGGCCAGCGGTTGTTTGCATAAGAAATGAGTGCTCCTGGTAACCTTTTCAGAAATAGTAAGAATGAAGTTTAAATATTTTATCCAAATTAGAAATAACATGCAACAAAGACCTGTGAAAAGTAAGTTTGGTTCTTCATGACCTGATAGGTATTAATAAATGAGTCCTTAGACAGTGGCTCTTAATGTATCATCTCATTTAAGCTTTCTAGTTATGGAAGCTCTGTTAACTGCATTTTAAAGGTGTGGAAATAGGTGTTCAAAGAGGTTAAGTGGCTTGCCCATGCTCACATGGCTATCAAAAAACAAATCCACAATTCTAATCCGGGTCTGTCTCCATGTCATTCCTGCTGTGCCAGCTCACTTCCCTCTGAAATGCTGACAAGTGTTTGAGGAAACAAACTTGACAACTCTTCCTCATAGTAAAGAAAATGCCAATGTCGTTACTGAGGTGGTTACTGGCTAGTTGGTGACTAGTCGCTGTACTTAGAATTGTTATTCACTTTTTGCATATGTATGTTTGTATACACATGTGTATATTCATACCTTGATCGATACCATGAGGTTGGTAGGATGCAGGATGGCAGTGTCCCACTCAAAGCCAGTAAATTAATTCAAGAGAATCCCATATTTCATAATAGTGATTGTTGTGAATTCAACCAAAACCAGTTTACTTCCCTTATACATATATTCTTTTCCTCACCCTAAGTGTGCTGGCTAGTTTGTTTTTTTCCTTGGAGGTAGGGTTTATTTATTTTTGTTATTGTTCCTTCATTTGTTTGATTTTGTCAATTTGGCATAAGCTATAGTCATCTGAGAAGAGGAAATCTCAAGTGAGAAACTGCCTCCATGAAATGGGCCTGTGGGCAAGTCTGTAGGGCATTTCCTTAATTGATGATTGATGTGGGAGGGCCCAGCTCACTGTGGCCAGTGCCACCCTTGAGTAAGTGATCCTGGGTGTGTATAAGAAAGTAAGTTGAGCAAGCTATGTAGAGCAAATTGAGTAAGCAGCACTCCTGCATGACTTCTGCATCAGTTCCTGCCTCCAGATACCTGCCCTTCATGAGTTCCTGCCCTGACTTCTCTCAGTGATGGGCTGTGATGTGGAACTGTTAAACTGGAAAAAAGTCCCTTCCCCCATTAGTTGTTTTGGTCATGGTGTTTTAGCACAGCAACAGAAACCCTAACTTAGCCAAGTAGCATGAAGTAACTGTCTTTCACAGAGCCATCACACAACATTCCAAACAATGGCTTAAGTCTCTTGGCCCACAAACATAGCCAAATCCTTACCTTGGGAAGCTTACTCCTCCGAAGGAATGATGACATGGCATCCCGGCCTGAATTAAGTGGCAGTACTTCTCTGACTTCAACAGTACCATCAGACAGGAAGTAATGCAGGACAAGTTCTCTACGGTCCCCAAACAGTGAGGTTGAGTCATCCCACAGGCAGAAGAAACGCAAAACCTTCCCATCATACTGGAGGAACCGTTTCAGAGTGTCAAAATACTGATAGGGACGAAAGGGATCCACAAACTCTAATATCTGCAAATGGAGAAATTGTCAGAAACATTGCAGGTTTTATGTAGTCATTTCTGGGAGGCAAGCAAGCAATTATATATAAAGATTTTTTTTTCTGTAGACTGTTCTGTCATACTTTTTAAAAGATTTCAACCAAATATTATGACATACAGATACATGGATCCAGGCATACAGATATATGAACTCACAGTCAGTTTTAACCTTAAGAATATAGGCAAACATCAGAAAGCTTTTCATATTTTGTTAAACATTATTTTAACATACTAAACTATATTTCTGGGATATGTTTGAAGTTGATTTCTTAAAGCCTTAGAACTTTATAACAAATGGACAAATCCAATCTATGGTGACAGAAACCAGAACAGTAATTGTTTCTATGTAGGGGCAACAAGAAAGGGCAACATCAGGAGATTTGACCAGAAAGGAAGGAAAGGGATTATTCTGAGGCTATAGGAAATAGCCTATATCTTTTTTTTTTTTTTTGGCCATGCTGATGATTGAACTCAGAGTCTTACAAATGCTGGGAAATGCTCTACTAGTAAGCTATAGCCCCAACCCCAAATAGTTTATGTCTTAAAATTTTCATATTGATTACTTTATTGTACACCTTTTCCAAATAACTGACCTGCATTGATTTAAGATCTGTATGTTGAATCCTAAGCTGATTATATTTTAATTTTTAAAATGTGTATTTTCACCAGAAATTTCCCATGTGTTTGTGTGTATGTGTGTGTTTTTCTCACTTGTTTATATTTTTTGCAAAGATAAGAGGAAGAAATGTATCTACAGTTTAATTTTGTTCAAACAACTTCAGACATCCAGGAAATGGAAGCCCAGTGGAAAGAGGAGCAGAGCAAATGGAGACCTTCCAAGAGTCCACAAAGAAACCCTCTTTGGCTGGACTCTCCTCCATGGTCTTCTTGGTGCATCTTTCCTTCAATTTGACACCTCTTAGCCCTGTCTTAGAGTATAGCTGCCTCTATTCTATCTGATATAAGCAAATGATATTGTTATATAATGAAGGATTCACTTGGGAAATGTTATTATATACAAAACATTTGAATTAAGTTATATAATTGTTCTATAAATTCCTGAAACACTGTGTCTATCTAGAGTGGTTTGGTACATGTTTATCTCAAGAGGAAAACACAACAGCTTTATAGAGGCTCTTCAAGCTTTATCTTTAATATTTAATTGAAATTATGAGACCTCTGTTTCCATTAATTAAAATGCTTTTAATGTATAAGACTGCTAAGAAATGCTTTATTGATTATATACCATTAAGATCCTGTTCAGTTTAAGCAAAGCAGTTTAAGTTTACATATCAAGGTAGCAAACACTTAAGAACTAAATCTAAATCCATAAAATTCTATGTAAAAGCCTCTTATTAAACTTTTAATTTCCCTAGATTCCTATATTTATTAATGAATTTTCTTTGCCCTAATGGAATGCTAAAATGGTTCTCACAGTCTGGAAGGAAATTATTTAAAATATTTGCCTGTCCTTGTTTTATTTCCAATTCTTGGCACAAACTTTTTCTTCTTTGAAAATCTATAAAATCTAACAGTAGTCTATGAAATATGAAGTATATGATGGTATAGTTATATACTATACCATCATTCACAATCACTACCTATAATAATAACTCTTAGTGAATGCATATAGCCATATGCAAGAAGCAGTAACTCTAGGGATCTTTTTCCTTCAGATTCCTCTGTGGCTTCTAAAGACTTTGTATTTATCATCCAGGACATATAAAAGATGTAAAAATGAGTCCAAACCTAAAAATCTCCTTTTACAGTGGTACAAAGTCATTTTACCTTAGATATTCCAGGATTAATAATACATATACTTCACAGGAGGATTGTATGCCTACAACATCAAAGAATAATTCTGCTGAGGCTAAGAGGCAGGTACAGGGGATGATCCTACACATAGTTTTTAATGAGAGATAAAAAACAGAATCATTTAAAATTTTGTTATTTTGAAAGGAAAGGAATTATAAGGTTTGAAAACAGTAAAAATTAGAGGAAACTAATTAATGGAGATAGCAATGAGAAGAGTAGTTATCCTTGAGTGGAGAGAAGGACTGATTAGAAAAATTCATGAGGGGATTTACTGGGAGGAGGGAGTAAGGAACTGCTCAATATCATAGTTTGAATGCAAGTTAAGACTCACTCCAAAGTATATTTAATGCCTGTATATTTGGCCATGTGCAGTTATATGTTAACAATAACAAAAAATAGTGAGGAATGGTAGTACACATCTGCAATCTCAGCATTTAAGAATCAGGAGCACAGTAAGTTCAAGGTCAGCCTGAGTTACACAGTGAATTCAATACTAGTCTGTGCTATTATAGTGACTATCTGTCTCAAGAATCTATAAATGAATAAATAAAAAAACTAAAAAAAAATAAAAAGGGAAACAAATGACAATAATGAAAATCAAGGTAAGAATCCAGAGATTTCCATTTTAGTCCCAATACAGAGCCTGGTTAGGTAGGCAATCTAACAAATGATACTTCTTCTTTTGGATATTTAACGTCCTCTGGGTATGCAGAGCCTTCTAGGTATTCAGAGCCTTCTGGTAAATAGAAAACTAGGGTCAAGGGATCAGTTCAAAAAACTGCAGAACAATAACACTGACTCTTTGCGCCTTACAACAGCATCATATTTTAAATGCATTCTTGTTTTATTACTAGGAGAAATAAAAATCATGGCTACTTCACTCTTTGAGAATATTTCAGCATCCAGTCTCACAGAGTTCCAAGAAGGAAGAAAATGTTCAAGGTTTGGTTTATTTAATCAGTAGCACAGAAGAAAGATTTTTTTCCAGCCAGAGATAGGCAACTAAACCCAGAAAACATAAGCAGAAGAAATATGGGTTTAACTCACATACTATTGGTGGCCACAAAATTAATTATGGGCTCCTCAACATTATCTCACCTAAGCAGCTCACTAAATACTCCTATAGCTAAAAAGGAGGTTCCCAAAAAGAACTGAGGGTGAGGGTGAAGGGAGCTTGCAAGGAGGGGTGTGGGAGGTCATTCCTGTTCTGTGGCTACCATTTAGTCTTCCCTTCTATCCAAAGAACACGACAGCTCTCATAAATATGGTTTCAAAAATCCTCTATATTTGCAGCAAGAGTGCCAGCATCGTTCACCAAGTCTCTGAATAAGAAGTCACAGATGTATCAATTCTCACCTCTCTCCGCATCTTCATGTAGGGATCTACTGGACGTGGTTCTGGAGGATTAAGTTTGATTCCTATTTTCTTTAGAAAATTTTTTGTGAATGTATCACAATCATAAATCTTGAACTTGCGCCCATAGAAGACAACAGCTGTGTTGATATTAAAGTGAAACACAGTATAAAACAGATCATCATCCGGAGGTGGGAGAGGAATCCGATGGCGCCTGATAGAAGTGCCTGAGGGATAAATAACACACAGTTTTTTTAACCATGTGGCTAGCAAGAAGTTATAGTATATCTCAGCAACCACCTTCCATGCTTCCCTGCAGTGGGGTAATGGGAAAGGGGTCATTTCTAGGAGGCAGCATTATACAGTCACACTCAAGTAAAAGTGAACCAAGACTTCTTAGGTCTAGAGATCTCTGATTAGCCTGATAATGACATTTGAGTTTCCTAAGTGTTGCTAGGAAAGTATTTTTATAAACCACAAAGACTAGAAGACAGGAATGGATACAATGGAGTTAGCACAGTGAGCAAAAATGCCACTCTGTCATGTACTTTTCCTACAATAAATAGGCTTGCTTTAAGTTACTAGATGAAACTCAATGAATTCAACTAAACAAGGCATTAAGGCCCCAAAGTAAAGTGCTCATAAAAAGGCATATGCTTGGCTCAAAAAGCCAATATATAAGTAAACAAACTAATAGCTTTAATTTATATGTGCCAACACTGTGATTTACAGCCTCAATAAGCATGAATGACTTTACACTGCTTGGAAACGTCATAGAACCCTTTTTCATTTAGAAACTTATTCTTCCTTCCTCCATTACTTCTGCCTATCTTCACCCAACTACCTCCATCAAACAAGGATTGCTAGAGACTTCACAGTTTCAGCCAGTATTCTGATTTCATCACATCTTTCATAAACAACCCTATGTTGCTCGTTTTCTTCCTGGTACAGACAAAAGGATAGTTTGTTGTTCAACATAAGTGAACAGGAGCAAAAGAGGCCATCCCTTTTTGAGCCAGTTTCCTCAGTCTCAGTTCCCAAGTTCCCCTTGGGAGATAGAATGAGGATGAGATGACACGAGCAGACACAAGTGGCACAACAAGAGAAGAACCCTTACTTTAGGAAACCTAAACCTTCTGTGGGCAGTTAGTAGTCCTACTCGGCAGTTAGTAGTCCTACAATGAACATGTCTGCCCTTTGTGGCAGGGAAGCACTGCCTCTGTATTCCAAGGCTATAAGCCAACATGCACTAGAAAGCAAGGCCATCTGTGTCTTTCCAAAGCTGTCTATGTATACAAACAGTCTTGAAGAGCAAGCACTGAGCAAAGAGTAGTACATCAAGATACACAGAAATGAAAACTACTCCCGCAGTGTTGCCTCTCAACATGTGTAACTGATTTAGGCCTGAGAATCTACCCTCAGAGCAAAGGAAGAAAGAACCAGACCACGCCAAGTTATTAATGATCCAGTAACACACGGCTTCTGTGACCTCAGTATGGACGCATTTTAATATAAAGATGTCAACTTACCTTCTTTGTATTGTATACAGTATTGAGAATCCTGCCTTTTCTCAAAATCTAGAAATACTTAAAACTTATTCATTCTTGTTCATTAAAGAACAGTTAATGAATAATCTTTATGTGCCAGGAACTGTGTTGGGCTCTGATCCATTACTCCACTTATCCTTTCAAGTTGTTGAGGAGAAATGAAGTAAAATCATTTTCATCTTTTCTACATAGCAATTTTTAATTACTTGGTACATTAAATTAAAATAATAAAACTATAAAATTAGAACTGGCATAGACTATTTTTAAATGTACTACATAAAAGATGATATAATTTTACTGCAAAGAATTATACTTCAATTAGCCTTTAATTCATGCCATTGAAAACAGTATGCAAATTATTTAATCATTCAAGATTAGACATTTAGAACAAATTGCATACTTAAAATCTATAAAAGGATGGGCACTTCAGATATTTCCAGGAACTATTGTATATCTCTTTAAAAATACTTGCATTGTGGCAGGTTATTAAATACTCAACTATTTGGAGCTTCTTCAAAACTTTCATTTATGGAACTAGGGAAAGAAATGTCTCAGTGAATAAAGCACTTGTTCCACAAATGTGAGGATCAGAGTCTGGATCCCTGAACCCACAAAATGGCTGGCAGGAGTGGCAGCTGCCTGTAATCCCAGAACTTGGGAAGCAGAGATGGGATACATAGGGCAAGCTGGCTAGATTAGACCAAATCTGTGAGCTGTGGGTTCAGTGAGAGAGCCTGCCTCAATAAACAGAGAGAGAACAGGGAAGATAACTGGCATTGACCTCACCTACACATGCAAACACATATGCACACATATGCACTTGCACATACATACTACATATACAAGTACAAAACTTACATCTATACTGTGATGATTTGAATAATAAATGTCCCCCATAGTCTTGGGCATTTGAATACTTTGTCCCCAACTGATGGCACTATTTGGGAGATTTAGGAAGTATGGCCTTGTTGGAGGAAGTACGTTACTGGAGGCAGGTTTTGAATTAGTTCTGCTTTGTGCTTGTTGTTCAAGATATGAGCACTCAACTTCCTTTCTGCTACCTTTTCTTCACTCCACCATCATGAACTCTAGCTCTCTGGAACTATAAGCTCAAGTAAACCTTTCTTCTGTAGCTGCCTTGGTCATTGTGTTTTATCTCAGCAATAAAAAAATAAGTAATGCATATACTTACAATTTGTACTTCATTATAAAAATTCAAATGAGCTATGCTTTTTAAGTAAGACTCTGGATAGGAATATTATCACTTTCAAGGTATGAAGTAGACTACAGTGCATCTAAACAATAACCACAATCACCATAATAGCCCTTTCATTGATAGTTTCTTATCTAATCCTCTATAATACCTGAGACCGACAGTATACGAGGCATCAATGTTCACTTCATAGACGAGAAATTAAAGCTAAGAATGTCTAAGTGTCTAGAATGTTATACCCTAACAAATGAGAGAAAAGCATTTTGAAGTTAGATATCAGACTGGCAAAACACCATTATTTTCCACAGTTTTCACTGAGTTATATCTCACTGAACATCATCCAGAAAATACTTAAGTGAAGGAAAAGAGGAAGATCCACAGGCAAAATTGAATCAAAATGGACTAGAGAGATGCCAGCCACAAGGAAAAGAAGAGAAATTGATGGTGGAGCTGCTCTTTCAAATCAGCCTGTCCCCCTTCTAAGGACTAATTTCCAGAACCAGTCACCTGCCTAACTGCAACAATCCCTTCATCACAGCATTTCCATCCCTCCAGAGCCTGCATCTCAGACCTCACAGCTTCCTTATCTCAGCCTCCATCAGACGCTTTTGAAAATACCAGGAAAATAGTAACAGAAAATAGTCTTGATAATCTATGGGATGGAAACAGAAAGCAGGTCTATTAAAAAAAAACAAGAAAAATTTACTGACAAAAAAGCCTAATGTCACAATACTGCATGAATCAGAAACCCAATGTAGACCATTTGAAATGAGAGCTTTCAGTCATATATTCCTGTGATCTCTCAACTGTGTCCTCTAGGGATTATAACAACTATTTATTAGGATTTGCATGTTTATAGTTTTCCATGATAAATGGCAAGAACTCTAAAAGTAGGAGTTTGCTCTAGAATACCAAAGAAATGGGCAGGATGCCATGTCTTTGGCACACACTGAAGAGCATTTGAAGTCATTAATGTAAATAAATAAAAATGTCACCCACAAAAATAGAAGAGATGAAAGCACCATGTCTGCCCTTTAACTTTTCAGGTGTTTATCTTCTCAGCTGTCCCATAAAGCTAGCTGGAACATACATCAAGTGCTTGTCTTCCAGTTTGTCCTCATCTCTCCCTTTTAATATTTTAAAAGCTATATCCCTGCTATCTGACTATGCAAGCTATGCAAGCTTTAGCTTTCTAACTGTTCCCTTTGGTAGAGACCAAAGTGGCCATATATCCATTTATGTTTAACATGTTTCCATGGCATTCAGATAGGACCTGCCTTAAATTTTGCTCATAACACTAAATTCAGCTTTGTAGAATTCACCTTTCAGAATTAAATGTCTGATATTTATTCCAATCACTCTTGCAAGTATATCTACTTTATTTCAGTAACATTGCATACCTAGAGTGAACAAGATAATATTTAAGTGAATGAATATAAAAATGGAATTGCTCTTGTCATTGTGTCTACTAAATTTATATCTAGTGATCAGATATGGCAGATCATCATCCCTTCTCTTGTGTTTACTTTGTTCATCCACTAAAGTGACTATTCTAGTTTTACTGTTATTTTTCTAAAATATCACCTTTGGAGTATGAATTTTATAAGAATAACTTTTTCATATACTGATACTGACACATACCTAGCAATGAATGAACAAAATGTTAAATATCCTACATCTTTCAATAGAATGTGAAATAACTTAATAACCATATGCAAGTCTCCATTAACCATTTCATCAATGCAAAAATACAGCCTAGTAAATTCTGTAACATCCTCTTGCATTGCTACCTTTGTGTCTAGTTTCCACCACCCATTCTATGATCTATTCCCAAATACCTCCCAGTTTCTTGTTCTACCACTTTCCCACATTTTAATTTCATGTTATCTCTCTAGGCTGTGCTCTCTTTCCCTTCCACCTTTAACTGAGGAAACTTTTGAAGCACCACTCAGGTTCTAAGTTCCTAAGTGGCTCCTGGCTTTCCCACTGCTGATCCCTCAAGCATTTGGTACCACTGATGATACCTGCATTATGTAACAAGTATTATATACTACCTCCCATTCTTCCTTCCTTCATCTCTCATTGCTTCCACAATATTTATTGAATAGTCACTATGCAATAAACATATCTTTATTTGCCTCTGCTCATAAATTCTTTCTCAAAATTTTTTATTTGTGTGTGTGCTGTATGCATGCACATATACCTGTGAGTACATGCTAGGTGTGTGTGTGTGTGTGTGTGTGTGTGTGTGTGTGTGTGTGTGTGTGTGTGTGTGTGTAGGCCAGAGGTCAATATCAGATACCTTATTTTTTATTTTATGTTTTATTTAAGATTTTTTAATTGAATGTACATACTGTGGGGGCCTACAGAGGCTTTCTAGTAAGGCCTTACTAAAGGTCAGAAAGTCTGAGTTTGCTTTGCTCAGCAGGGCTGCATAATAGGATGATTTGACCAAAGGCATGGTTAC